CGTGTAAGCATTATGCGTCACACACACACACACACACACACACACCAGCAACTGGCTTTTAAAATGTTTGCTCACTGGTCTCTCTGGACTTCCTCAGCTTTTTTAGATGGAGATGAAAACCGGCCAGGTGCTTTCCCGATTTTTAGCTCATTTAATCCTTATACCAATCCCATAAGTTAAGTCAGTTTTACACCTGTTTTATCGATTGAATAACGGAGGGCCCGGATGGTGTGCAGAACTGAAATCTCTCCACGGAGGACCGGAGCGCCTGGCCACCTGCAAAGTTCCGCACCTTGGGGGCTGGGGCCACTCCTCTAGACGGTTACACAGCTAACCCAGAGCGGTTCTGCCCATCTTTTATTTTCTGTAAAAGCGGAGAGTAGAGCAGGGCAGGGCCCCCATGCTGTGCCTGGTGTGATGCTCACCAGACTGGCTTTGCCACTGTAGGTACTTGAAAACGAGTACAGTGCAGAGTGTTGTTGTGTGTTTTAGTGCTCTTTTGGGGGGCCCGCCACCCAGCTCCCAAATAAATCACACATGGAGGTTTATTCTTAATTATGAATGCCTGACCTTAGCTTGGCTTAGTTTCTTGCCAGCCTTTCTTAACTTTAAATTATCTCGTCGACCTTTTACCTCTGGGCTTTTACCATTCTCTTACTTCATAAATCTTACTCTTACTCTGGGACTTGATGGTTGTGTAGCTGGGTGGCTGGCCCCTGATGCCCTCCTCCTTCTCTGGCTGCTAGCTCTTAGATCTCCCTTCCCAGATTTCTCCCTCTGAATATTCTCTCTGCCTGCTAGCCCTGCCTATCCTTTCTCCTGCCTCGCTATTGGCTGTTCAGTTCTTTATTAGACCATCAGGTGTTTTAGACAGGCAAAGTAACCCAGCTTCACAGAATCAAACAAATGCAACCTAAACCAAAGTAACACACCTTAAAATATTCTGCTACAGCAGAGTGGCAGTCTCAGGGCAGGACATGGTAAGCATCCATGGTGTGATGCTTGTCCTACCACCCCGTGAGCATGGGGTGCATGGGCTGAGCGACTTATAGGGCCTTAGCTGTTGAGAGACTGAGGGGGCTGTACAACCCAAACTCATGGGCCTTCTTCCCACTGTTGACCCCTGGGGAGGCTGCTTGTTGGCATTTGGGGAGGGAGAGGGAGCGCAGAAGGACGGAAAGTGAGCGAAAGCAGTGCAGGGTTGAGTGTCGGAGAGACGTGTAGAGCCAGCCTGAGGGCTGGATTCCCGGATGAGTGGACAGTGAGATGGCGTGCGTGCCTCGTGTGCGTGGCCAGTGTGGAGGCAAACTGAACGAGTGGGAAAGACTTGCAAAGCGCGGCTGCTGTGCCTAGGTGGTTGTTAGGACCTGTGAACTCATGGAAACCTGGCCCCGGGAACTGTGAGGACATGTGCCTCGCTTTAAGTTTCAAAGCTGTCCCTTCGTGCAGTGCGGATTGTTGGTCTTATTTTCCCAGCAAAGATAAAGACAGAGAAAAAATATCTTGTATGTAGGAATGCTGAGCCACAACTTCTGAGCTGACTGTGGGAGAACTCACCTTTTTTGGGGGGAGGGTGTGCTTTCAAAGTCTTGTTTTGGGTCACCCATCCCATCCCGCGTTTTCAGGGCCTTTTCTTTGATCTCCCGCAGACATTTAAAAAGCAGCTCAGTCTAGTAGAGACTCTCAGCTCCACCTCTTTTCAAAGAGAATAAAATAACTACCACCTGCCTGTTTGGAGGCTGGAAGGATGATGCTTCCGAAGCAGTTGGAACAGCTCCAGGGAAGGGCGGCTTGGTATGAAGTGAGATTTTCTTCCTAACAACGTGAGACTCTCACCCTTAAAAAACCTGAACAGTCGGGGCATAATAAACGGGAGAAAACAGACAGCTTCAGACATCCAACACGGTGACATTAAACAGGTCATAAAGGCGGCGTGGTTCCTTAGATTCAAATGAGCATGAGAATTCTGGAGAGATCTCCCGAGGACCACTTCTGCGGCGAGAAG